ATGGCATATGTCTGGTACACTTCAGGAGGTGGGTAGGAGAAAGGCACCTTCTCACCCGTTTTATACTTTGTTCTTCCCATCATAGCTAACCTATCAGCAACATAGTTAACCGATCTGCTAGCATGAAAGACAGTAACCTTCCAATTCCTTTCTAAGAGGGTAGCAACATCACAAATTATGTTACCCAAGTCCCCATCCTCGAATGACTTAGGATCTTTCAACATCTTAGATAAGCTGTCAGCATCTGTCTCAAGTTCAAGAAATTTTATCTTCTTATCCCAAGCTAAGAGCAAACCTTCTCTGATGGCCAAAAGCTCAGCAGAAGCGGCAGTCATAGCATTAAATTTGTAGCAAAACCTGTTATCCAAATGCCCCTCTCACACCTGATAACACCCCCTCCTCCAGCATTGTCCATACATATCCAAGAACCGTCAGTGTTAAGCTTGTAATAGCCTTTCCGAGGAGGAGCCCAAAGTCTAGGATTCTTAGCAACAGAAGAGGAAGGAGAGTCCGTAGGAGGAGCCTGATTAATTCTCAAACAAAAAATGTAATCAACATAAAACTTGTTAAAGGTAGAATGAATAAAAATCATTTTTTGTTCAAAGATGGCAACATTTCTAGTGTTCCAAAGGTGCCATATGGCAACCGAAAAAACAGTTTCCAGGAAGAAGAGTTAGTAAGATTGAAGTCCAACCAGCCAGTAAAGTTTGAGTTATAAAAACGATGCAAATCAATGTTAAAGGAGTAAAAAATTTTGAAAATCAAAAAACTAAAAAGCAGATGAGTTAGGGCAGTCCCTAAAAACGTGGATACTATCCTCAAGAGAGGCTTCACATCTCATGCACATTGGGTCAAAACAAGGGATTTTTTTCATAAGATAGCTTCCAACAGGGAGGATATCCCTGAATAAATTCCAAAGGAGCATCTTATATTTATAAGGGACTTTGATTTTCCAAAGACTTTTCCAAGCAAAAGAAGAAAGGAAAGAAGAGTTGAGACTTGAAGGAAGACTACTAGAGTTGTAAGCCGATTTAATAGTAAAAGCACCACTTTTGTGAAGAGACCAATTCAATTTATCAGGAACATTAACAAGTTTAGGTAAAGGGTAGGCTAATATTAAAGAGCCTAAAGAAGGGGGAATAAGATGAATTATACTATCTAAGCACCATTCATTATTCCTAATTATATCGGAAACGCGCCAATGGCCTTTAGAGTCAGGAACGCGAATATTAGGAATGAGATAAATAGGGCAATCACCGATCCAATGGTGGAACCAAAGGGAGGTGTCTTGACCATTACCTATGTTAATAATTATACCTTTTTTAAGGATGTGCCTACCTCTCAAAATATCTTTACAAATGACAGAATCTGTAACTTTAGGAATATAGTCTAAAAAATTAGAGTATTTAAGATATTTGTTCTTTAGGATCTCAATCCAAAGCTTATTCTTTTGAGTTAGAATTTTCCATCCGAGTTTAGCCATGAAGGATAAATTCCACCTTTTTAGGTCTCTAATTCCTAAGCCTCCCTTGGCCATTGGATCACAAACAACCTTCCAATTTGTTCTAGGAATATATCTAGATCGATTAACTCTATTCCAAAGAAATTTTTTGCATTTTTTTTAAGATCATTGATAACATTAACCGGTAAAATATTGGTTTGCAATATGGCATAAACCGGATAGGAATTAAGAACTGATTTAATGAGAGTACATCGCCCAGCCATGCTTAAAAGCTTAGCTTGCCAACCTTTTATTTTAGAACAAGTTTTGTCAAGGAGAGGGAAATAATCAAGTTGATTTAGGCGCTTATGAGAGATAATAATACCCAGATATTTACCAAAAGTGGTGGTATTAGTAATATTACAAATATTACAAATAGAATTTCTAACATTATGATTCATTTTCTTAGTGAAAATAGCCGAGGACTTAAGAATGTTAATGGACAGCCCGGAAATACTCTTAAAATGATCAAGTACTTCCATCATATTATTAATATTTTCAGAAGATGCTTTTCCAAAAAGAAAAACATCATCGGCGTAAAATAAGTGAAAAATATTGACATTTTTAGCAATTTTCATGGGTTTCCATGTGCCATTATTAACCCTATCCTGAATCATACAAGAGAGACGATCAAGGCAAAGGACAAAAATATAAGGTGATAAGAAAATATAAGGTGATAAGGAGTCGCCTTGCCTAATTCCTCTAGTAGGAGAAAAAGACAGTAATTTCTCCATTCCAAAGGAGAGAAATCTTAAGGGTACAAATACAACTAAGAATTAGATTAACAATATTAGGGGGGAGGTTAATACTAAGAAGAGTGTCTTTGATAAAGTCCCATTCTAGGCTATCAAAAGCTTTAGAAAGATCAATTTTAAGAGCCATGAGATTAGCCTTGTTAGAAGCCTTATTAAAATGGTGAGCTACCTCTTTAATGATAATAATGTTTTCTTCTATAGACCTAATAGGAATAAAACTAGATTGAAAAGGACTTATGAGATCATCCATAATAGGTTTTAAACGATTAGAGATACATTTGGTGATAAGCTTATATATAGAATTACATAAGCCTATGGGCCTAAAATCCTTCATAGAAATAGGAGAGTCACATTTAGGGATTAAGTAAATGTAGGAATCATTAATAGCAGAAGGAATCGATCCCTTAGAGAAACAGTCAGAGATAAAGCTAGTGATAGAAGCACCTAAAGAACTCCAATGTTTCTGAAGGAAAATACGTTGAATACCGTCTGGCCCCGGGGATTTAATGGGGTCCATTTGGAAAAGAACGGATTTGATCTCCTTTAAAGTAGGAGGTAACAGGAAGCTAGAGTGAGAGCAGGTTTGATTTTCCTTAGGAAATCGATAATTTTTCAAAAGATCAGAGTCAATATCTACAGATTGAAAAACATTTAAAAAATAGTTTCTAGCCATATTTTTTAAAAGAATTAAATCAGTAATCCAGTTGCCATCATTATCTTGTAAAGATAAAATTTTCCCTCTACTTTTTTTAATATTAGCAATTAAATGAAAATACTTAGTGTTACAGTCAGCGTTTTTCCTCCAATCTAAACCAAATTTTTTAGCATAAATAATTCTTTCAATATGATAAATATGGTTTAAATCAAAGAGCAATTCCTTTTCCAGATTAACAAGAAAAAGATGAATAATTTTTAGCAAGCACAATTTGGATACCATCAATCCTAGCCACCAATCTTTTTTTTCTTATTAGCAATGTTACCAAAAATATCATGATTCCACCTCTTAATGTTATGAAGAAATTCAGTTCTACCTTTAATAAAATTAAAGCTATGTAAATCCCAATTTCTAACAAAAAAAAAAAGAAAATTCTTCATGTTCAAGCCAAGCAGCCTTACACCTAAAAGGATAAGGACCACCTCTACTTTTATCAAATAAAGAAATTAAAATAGGACTATGATCTGAATAAGTTTGAGCAAGATGCGATACCTGAGTGTTTGGATAGGTATTCAGCCATCTCGAGTTGCCCAATGCCCTGTCAAGGTGTTCCTGGATAAGCTCCAGACCTTCTCTAGCATTGTGCCAAGTGAAAGGGTTTCCAGAGAACCCTAAATCGACCATGCATGCAGCCTTGGCTAAATTATTAAGGTCAGCACATTGAGATTGCTTAAATTTCAGCCCACCTGACTTTTCTGAAGGTTTAGTTACCTCATTCAAATCACCCAAAAAAAGCCACGGAGTATTGTCAGGGGGAGAGAATCTTGTAAGTCATTCCATAGCTTGTGCCTTTTAAGAATTATATTCATTTCATCATGACATTTAAGAATTAAATTCTTCCTCCAAAATATGGTCATCAAGAAAGATAAATACATCTACTTCACTCATCATAAACCAAAATCAGTTTCATGCGTGCATAGGAAATAATACACCATATATACAAATTTGACAAACTCCTCATTGCCATCCAATTTGTTTCATATACATACACTTATACAACTGAAATAGCATGAAAATATTACACAAGACATCAACACCATAAAAACATAAAATAAATCATGGTCTTGTAAAATAAAACAATAAAATAAAAAATGAATAAATTAAATAAACAATAATATATACCATACTATTCACATTAAAAAGTTCATGACCTACCGAAATAAACATCACTTGAATTGAATCAAGACATTCAAATTACCTCAAAATAATTCTAATTCCATGACCGTTAGTCATTACCGCATAACCCATTGAAAACTAAAACGGATCTTTTACCATGCATAGACCAATAAATACTTTATAAAGCATAACTTGCCACATTAATTATCATCGATAATAATCCCATGAAAATACAATTAGCATATATATAATATCAATATACATAGTATATAATAACAATTAACATAATGACATACATGTTAATACTTTCATAAAAAATCATCATCAAATAAAATCATAATTGATAATAAATCATTCATGCTAAATAACCATAAAATAAATAATCAAATGATGAATATAATCAAACCATTCATCATTTCAAGCATGAAAAAATATAGTAATATAGAAAATTAGAAATACTAACCAATTCGCCATGAATAAACACAATAATTAATTACCGCAAATTGCATCGTATCGATTATACCGAACAAACCGTTCTTCCACTTGATCCTCTTCGTTGTGGCCTCGAACGTCTCGATTTCCTCCTCCATTAACTTCGGGGATGTGAGCAAACACCACTCCTAGAGATGTCACCAAATTGCAATTACGAACTTTTACTATCTTCGTAAAATCACTCCTCTTAATTTGTCCAAAATTATGGAAATTGCAAGACAATTCTTACACCATGTCATCTTTGTAGGAGAATATTACTTTGGATTGTTGGGGAAATTGATTTACCGAGTCACAAAAATGACACGAAAATTGGACAAATTAAGGCCTGAACAAAATCAGTTTCCCAAAATAATATTTCGACCCTTATATACACAACGGGTATCATGAAATTATTAGGAGATACAACAAAGACAATCACAACAATCATATTTGTGATCTAATGTAACCAAACTTTGGGCAAGTTATGATGATGATAAAATAATCAAACGCAAAATGTTTCTGAAGGAAAAATATACAGTATCAACTAATTCCTTGAAGTACACAAGCAAATCAGAGAATGAAAAAGTAGTAGTTCCACTAATTTCCTGGTTAATTGCAAAGTTGATGATCGTGCAATCGTAGAAGGTTATTTTATCCCAAAAACAAGGTAATTGTAATGGTGAATTGTTCTTCAATTTTAAGAGGAATTTTGATTCATCTAATTAGTTGCCAATAACAGGATTATAGTTTGTTATTTAGAAGGTAATTGTAATGGTGAAATATTCTTCAATAAATGGATTTTCTCAATTTTTTGTTCCACACGATTTATGCTTGTTTATATACCCTAAAATTGATGATTCGATTCTTTGTAATTAGTTGATAATTTCAATATCTCTATCCACATTCACCCACCCTGATTGCTAAATTCACGACATTCACGGCGACACTTGAACTTTGATTGTTTGTCTGACGGCAACGGTGGTACCGGATTACCCACCGTCGACCAAGTCGTTTCCGCTTATTTAAGCTTTTGGTTTCTTGGTGATAGGTAGGAATCTTGGTATGGGGATCAGCAAAACTGAGATAAACCTGAGAAGGTTAATTGCTGCTGCACCACAACAGCAAAATCAGGCGAAATTAGCTCATGTATGTAATTCATGATGTTGTGAATAATTTAAGTTTGTATGCATCTAGTTTATTTTAATCAACGCCTATTCAACCTGTTTGTAGCTTAATATGCTTTTCTTTTGATTGGATTTTAAACCTGTAATTAAATTATGCAGTATGTTGCTACACTGCGCGAATTGTTGGAACAGCTTACTGAAGAGACCACTCCAGAAGGCTTGCCGAGGTCAGCTTATATTACATCTTTCCTTATAAGTTTGTAGTCTTTAGAGTGCTTTATAAAAAAATGTTTAAAAAGTTTGTGTTAACTAAAGAGATCAACTGCTAATAGAGAAAAAACCTATTCATCATTTCTATTTGCATAATGTTGTAGACTGCGAGTGAAAATTGGGACTAATTTCTTGGTTAGGATAGCGTAATGATTTATCTAGACAATATCTTTGTCCAGATAATCTGTTCATTTATGGGTATAATAATCTAGCTATCAAGCCGTTTGATGACTATTGTGATTTGTGATCCATAGTTTTATGTTATTTGTTCTGTTAGATACTTTGCTTTGACATCAACATAACATAAAGCCTTTACTTCTTTAAACTCTTTGCTATTGTATGAGTTTACCAAACATCAAATTAATCAATTCACTCTGCTCCTGGGTTTTATATTGTAGGGTCTCCAAAGCTAAAGTAAATGATTACTCTGAGAAGATTGAATCTATCACAGCCAAATTATTAACTTCACCAATGGTATGTTTTGGAGACCTCTTAGTGTGTAATATTTTGCTATGCTTAATTTTAGCTGTTGTAGCTCTGCAATATATTGCTTTTTTACACTGCATAATCATTAATTTGTGATAGCAAAATGTATGCTTATATGTCTGCTAGGTGTCTGTTAATAAATTATGTATTTTTTAAATGATTTTGATTGAGGAGGTTGCTAGTAATATGTTAGTTACACAGAATTGAGTTTCTCGAGCTGTTCTAGGTTTTTTTTTTAAAGAAAAAATTATTTTTTGTTGCTGAAACCTGAAATTTGCATTATGTGGAGACCAAGTTGTTTCAGTAACAAACTTCAGATGTATCATCTTTTAAAAAGGGCAGAAAAGGAAGAGGTGGCCAGACCCTCTGTATATAGAGATAACTGTTCTATTACTGTTCATCTGGTTTTTTTCCTTGCAGATGAAATTAGTGAATATGATAACCAGCACTACTGTCTTTTTTTTTTTTTTCGTTCTTCCTCTCTTTTTTATATAATGTTTAAAATCATGAGAGCTTATTTATGTTGAATATATGATTTCAATAGTTCCAAAGGGAAAAAGTTTACTGCTTTTGATAAACTCTGGTGTGGAAGGAGGTTTCATTAATGACTATTTGGTACATGACTAATGCAGGAATCTTTGAAGAGACTTCAAATGAGGCAAGCCCTCAAATAGCTGAAGAACTTAAAGTTGCCTCCCTACCAGGACTTAGGAAGAGACCAGTGTATGTAAACATTACGGTCTTATTCATGGAGTTATATTAAGGAAAATTTTGAAATTGAGTTGGAAGATTTTTTGCGAGTGTAGGCCATCCTCATTTGCTGAAGACAAGTCACACGAGAATGTTGGACCTGATTCCTCACCACTTGTTAAATTGGATGCTACTGCCCACTCACATATAGACAAGCACAGGTACTTTTATTCTGAACATTGTTTTGTAAATGTGGTTGATAACTCTGAAGTTTATCATTAATTACTTGAAAGAGTAAACTGAGCAGTCTTCTGGATACACATCTACTGTCCCTACGGAGTGTTTTGATAAAGGATATGAACTATACACGTCTTCCAATGTTAATTTCAGGAGCAAGAGGTCAAGGGGATTATAACTTGAAACTTGAAACATCAGGAAGCTCGGTTTTGCTTATCTCTACTGGAAGCAAATATAAAGAATTGTCTTGTATAAATTTTGTGGATTCTTTTTCAGGAAATTGTTTCCACCCCATGTTTTTTTCATGAAGTTGTCTTCTACACTTTTTTTTTTTTTTTTGCATATTTATACAAATGTCTACTTTATCCCATTTGCAGTAAAAGATTAAATCCTTCAAGCCTTTATTGAGGGAATATGGTTAAAAAAAAATTCAGAAATTGTAGTATCGTGTTATTGATTCTAGGTGAGCATATGCTCAGTCGGCTTTCCTCTGTATAAAATTTGTTACTAACTTTCCCTTCTTTGTACTACAGAAAGCTTCAAGAAGACTTGACTGATGAGATGGTGGGAATGGCACGACAACTGAAAGAGAGCAGTCTGTTAATGAGTCAGTCAGTGCAAAATGCTGAGAAGGTACGTACTTACCTCCAACTCTGCTTTCTTAATCTGAAGTGCTTTTTTCTGAAAGGAATCTTATGACATTGTTGTATAAAGAGACCAGGTTGTGGTGTTAGTCACTTGTCCGTGTAATTAAATAGCTGCAGGTCATGTGTTATTTTCCTCCTCTAAAAAATATTTTATTTTGTAACTGGACATCCTATGCTCATTCATTGAGTTGGTATCCTTTACCTTTATCTTGTCTACCTATGAAAAGAACTGGATTGGACTCCCAAATTTTGTCTTGAGTTTAGGCTTGAGAGTTGAGATTTAAAAACCTACTCATTTACCTTTTGTTTGGATTTGGAATTGGATATAAATTAAACGCAATCTTTCCAAATTTCTCCATACTGCTAGTGCCTACTGTAGCTTGAAAAAAGGGGACTGTTGTGAGGCAACTAGGTGTAATATGTATTGGATAATACAAAGTATTCAACTGTGGAATTTTTATAGGCTGTCAATATAGGCTGGCTGTTTGAATTATATATATATATATATATATATATATATATAAAACTGCCCTGATGAGCTTTTTTATGCATCTCTAGTCTCTACTTCATGAAAGGTTTTCTAATTGCTCCTTTCACTTGCTACAACGTAGAAAACCAAAAACTTTCTACGACTTAGAAAACTAAAAAAATAACATGAAACTTTAGAAGATTGTGTGAATAAGGTATTATTTAAGTACAGGAACCACTATATCCTATATAAAATCAAAGGCCAGCTCACTAAGTAACCTTTTTTCAATTGGAGATGAGCTATTGAACTGTATGTTGTGCATGAAAGGCAGAGGCCCAGCCGCCCAGGATTGGGGGAAAAAAAAACTTGTTTCTGATAAGGGGTTTATGTATAGAGTTATAAGTATAATTTAGGATGGGGAACTATCGATAGTCTTGCAGCTGTATCTTGAAAATATTCTCACTATCTCACGATACTCCTGAGAGTTTCAGTGGAAATTAGTGTGAGGAAGTTTTTAGTTGTAAATTTAAATCTATATGCTATATTTTGCGGCAAAAGATTCCATGTCTTCAGTGCAAAACACATTTCTTGCTTGCTTTCGCCAAAAATTAAAATTTCTGCTTCTAACCTTTCTGTCTACAAGTCAATTGTTTTAAATGCCATGCTTGTTGCTCCTCACCTTTCTGGTCTAGTTTAGCATCTTAAATTTGTTTGTTTCCAACTTAGCTCACATTATTGTGGATATATTTTGGGGGGTTAATTCAGTTTTTTCATCATGGTTTTGTTGATATAGATACTTGATTCAACCGAGAAGGCAGTTGAGCATAGCTTGGCAAGCACTAGTCACGCCAATGTAAGGGCAATGAGTGTTTTTTCACAGAGCTCAAAGACTTCATGTTTTACATGGCTTATTATGTTATTTATGCTAATGATTTTTATGATGGTGGTTTTCCTTATTTGTATTACTTGAGTTTTTTTTTACTGAAGCCACTTAGGTTGATTTTTTTTTTCTTTTTTTTTTTTTTTTTTTTGGGATAAAAAAAAAGGGAAGGAGTTAATGATACACTGTAAACCTACTTCTAATTAAGGTGACTGTTGGATAGTTTTTGTTTTTTTATTTTTTTTTTGGGGGCGGGGGGGGGGGGGGGGGGGGGGGTGGTACATGTAATGTAATTTGTAAGGTCCCTATCTTAGGGATAACCACTTCTACCGATATGATTGACTTGCTGTTACTTGATATTATTTTATAAATGAATTGACAGGAGAATTAACTGACTATTTAACTTCTTCCTTGAGTCCCTTACTCCCTTCTCCATATTCTATGTTTGATCATAAAACCATTTGGTAATTGGTGTACCTTCTTCGTTTTGTACATCAAACTTTCATTCCCTATTACAGAACAATTAAAATTGAACCCTTATATAATCCTTGATATGCATTTGGGTCACACCTATATCAGGTTAGCCATATGGAGAGACTTCAAATTGAACAAGTAAAGCATAGGACTGATTGACTGATGAGATATCATTTACAATGTGTGACACTATGGAAGTGCTCAGCTAGAACCTCTGCTTAGTTTCAATTATCTGTTCTGATGTGTATCTGATGTCATGTCCTGGAAAAACAAACTAATTACTCAATTTGATAAGTAAAGTATAGGTCACACCTATATTAGGTTAGCCATATGCTACCTTAATTTGATAAGTAAATGGGAGCGTTGTTTAACAACCCCTTTATAGTAATGATATTGACATAAAATTCAAAATATGAATCGAAACCAAATACAACTGAAATCACTTGAAATGGAAACCAAATACAACTGAAATTACTTGAAATCGAAATCAGAATTCATGTACCAGACAATTATGCAGTTGGTCACAAAAATTTCATCCACCTCTGTTTTGCCCTGTCTGATTTTATTCAGGTGGCAAATAGGCAACAGATGATCAAGGGCAATATGCGTCCGATGAATGTCTATGAAGAATTAATGAAGAAAAATTGTCATTTAATCAAACGCAGATTCCATTTCGAAGTTTTCATTTTCTCTGCTCTCAAATATCTTGCAGTTCTGCACCATTAACAGAAGACAATGCTTCTTTTTCATCATGATCTTCATTCCAAAGTACATATAGACATTTTGACTGCTTTCAGGGCATTAAATTTGGATGTTGTCATAATCGCGATAAATTGTATCATGAATTCATGACAACATACTTTTGCTAGGTAATGGACTCAATGCCAAAATACCATATGAAATAGCCCGGGGAACTTCCTGTGTGATATCAAACTTCAGCGGCACAAAGCAAATAGAAATGGAACAGCACAATACCAGCTTCAATGATGCCCTGTTTATTCAGAAAGTACAAGATAATAAATTCCTAGTTTAAAATAACCAAACAAAACAAAATTGAGAGCTTGAAAAATTGCCTGAGAAAAACCGAGAAAATGGTTCCTTACCTGTAGCTGCTTCTCTGCCTGAGCAGTGATGTTGGAAATGGTGCTTTATACTTGCATTAACACCTAATGGTTTACACAGCATGTAAATATTTGAACTCAATACAATCTGAAACTGTAGAATTGTATAAACTCATGGCTTAACTTTCATTAATTGGGGTAAAACATATATATACAACTCTTATCCCTAGAGTTACCTTAATTAGGTTACTAGAAATAAGGAAACAATATAAAAGATAGAAATAAATATATCTTCCCAAAATATATCCTCAATACCCCCCCCCCCCTCAAGTTGGAGCACTAGGATCAAAAGTGCCCAACTTGGACAAAATACCATCAAACTGTGACTTCCCAAGAGCCTTCGTGAAGATGTCGGCCAATGGAGTAGTCGTATGAACATACGATGGGGAAATTAAGCCGTCTATAATAGCATCCCGCACAAAATGACAATCTACTTCAATATGTTTGGTCCTTTCATGGAAGACCGGATTCTTTGCAATGTGCAAAGTAGATTGACTGTCACAAAATAACTTGATTGCCTTAGGATGATGGACACCCAAACTTAGCAACAAACCCTTAAGCCACTTGAGCTCACAAGTACTGCATACATAGACCTGTACTCGGCATCACAAGATGAAGTCGCCACTGTTGGTTGCTTTTTAGTCTTCCAAGAGATAGGGGAATGACCTAAAAATATCAACCAACCTGTGATAGAACGACGGGTGAGAGGACACGCCGCCCAATCCGCATCACACCAACCTTCCAAAGTAAGATCACTAGAAGCACTCAACAAAATACCTTGACCCGGGGTGCCTTTCAAATAACGAACGACTCGAAGAGCTGCTTCCCAATGCTCAATGCGTGGCTCTTTCATAAACTGAGACAAAATATGTACGGAGTATGCTAGATCTGGTCTAGTGACCCCTAGATAAATCAAACGACCAACTAACCTACGATATGCCTCCGGATCCTCAAGAAACGCACTTGTGGCACGACCGAGCTTGTGGTTTTGCTCCATGGGAAAACCACTCGGCTTTGCCCCTAACAAACCTGCTTCAGAAATGATATCTAACGTATATTTTCGTTGACACAAAAATAAACCTGAAGCACTACGAGCAACTTCTATGCCCAAAAAATATTTCAAAGGACCTAGATCCTTCATTTTGAAACAATCACTAAGATAAGCCTTGAAACCAACTAGTGCGGCGGAATGATTACCAGAAATTATAAGATCATCAACATATACTAAGACATTAATCTGAATGGTGCCTTTAGTATACGTAAAAAGGGAAGAATCAGAGTAAGATTGAATGAAACCATACCCTTTCAAAGCTGCAGTTAGCTTTGCAAACCAACACCTCGGTGCTTGCTTCAACCCATACAAGGACTTGTCCAAGCGGCATACTAATGTAGGATCCTCACTTTCAAACCCGGGAGGTAACTTCATGTATACCTCCTCATCAAGATCACCATGCAAGAAAGCATTATGCACATCCATTTGATGAAGTTCCCAATTCTTTGATGCTGCAATTGCAAGAAAGGCCCGAATCGTTGTCATCTTTGCAACTGGAGCAAATGTTTCACCATAATCTATGCCTTCTTGCTGATGATTACCAAAAACAACTAGCCGAGATTTAAGTCGTTCAATATCACCATTAGACAAATATTTTGTCTTAAACACCCATTGACTCCCTAGTGCACGTTTACCGGGGGGAAGATGCGTTAAGGTCCATGTACCATTATCTTCCAAAGCTCTTATCTCCTCTTGCATAGATTTCCTCCATCCTGCATGTGTCATGGCCTCTTTAAAAGATTTCGGATCATGACCACCAACAATAGCTGCCAGAAACTTACAATAATTCACAGAAAACTTGTCACAATTTATATAATGTGCTAAAGGATACGGGGTACCTGAAGGAGTGTTGGAAGACGGAGTGGAGAGAGCCGGATTGTTAGCAAAAACGAAGTGAGTCATAAAATCTCGATGTCGAACATTCGGAAATTTTTCTCGGAACTCGCGCCCCAAGGGAGCAGCTGCCCCTGCATTACTATCATCCACGGTGGCCGAAGACTGCTGTTGGCTGGCAGCCTAATCAACCAGCAACACGGGCTGCTGCACAGGTCGTGAAATAGCAGCGGCCTCGTGCTGCTGATCTGCTGGCAGCCCCGCGCCCGCGGGCTCTTCCTGCGGGGTGGCAGTAGCCTGCTGATGCTGGGGTGCTGTTGTTCCCGCGCCCGCGGGTGTCACCTGCGGGTCTGACCCCGTGCCACCCCCATTGTCACACACTCGCACACTAGGCACCTCACCAATGTAAGGGTCCTCAAACTCAACAAAATCATCATGAACATCAAAACCCGAATCAAACATATGTGGTGCAATATTAACATCTTCCGGAGTAGCAAAAGGGAACACATCTTCAACAAATTTAACATCCCTTGACACAAAGAACACCTTAGACTAAAGATCATACAAACGCCACCCTTTCTTCCCAAAGGGATAGCCCACAAAAACACACTTTCGACTTCTACTAGCAAACTTATCCCCATCAGTTTTCTGATTATGTGCAAAACATAAACACCCAAAAGTACGTATGGCATCAAACATAGGGGGTTTATCAAAGAGAATTTCGAATGGGGTTTTATTTTGTAGCAACGGAGTGGGAGTACGATTAATTAGGTGAGCCGCGGCAAGAACACACTCACCCCAAAAATAAATGGGTAATTTGGCTTGAAATCTCAAAGCTCTCCCAACAGACAAAATGTGTTTATGTTTTCTCTCAACTCCCGTTTTGTTGCGGAGTACCCACACACGAGGTTTGGAAAATAATGCCCATAGTATCAAAAAAATCACGCAAACAATTAAACTCTGTACCATTATCACTTTGCACAATTTTTATGCTTTGAGAAAATTGTCTATCTACCATGGCAACAAACATCAAAAACATACGGGAAACCTCCGTTTTATCATTCAATAAATAAATCCAAACAGCTCTAGAATAATCATCGACTATTGTCAAAAAATAACGAGCTCCGCATGAGGAAACATGTCTATACGGGACCCACAAGTCACAATGAATTTTCTCAAAAATTCTAGATGCTTTATTATCACTCAAAGGGAAACTATTTCTAGGATGTTTAGCACGCATACATACTTCACACCCTTTATCTAAACAAGCTTTATTACTAACTGTGGGAAGCAACTTAACTACTTTCTCGGAAGGATGACCCATACGACGATGCCACAACTCCAACTTTGAATTTGCAACACTCACATGATGCACCGAATCCGTTTTGCTAAAGTAATACAATCAGTCCCTCCTAGTTCCCGTTCCAATCAGCTCCTTCGTTTGGTCCTGTATAGCACAAATATAAGAGTTAAATTGGACAGTACAATTAAGATCGTCATTAAGTTGCGAAACAAAAATCAAATTACAACTCAAATTAGGAACATAGAGTACTCCGATGAGAGTAATCTTGTTCGATAAACAAACAGAGCCAATAAGAGAAGCCGACAATGTGTCTCCATTGGGAAAACCAACCGGACATTCGAAGCTTTTTGTATCAAAAAGCCAATGTTTTTCTCCGGTCACGTGATGAGTAGCTCCTGTGTCAATAATCCAAGAGGTATCATCAAACTTACCACTCAACCGATTATCCGAAATTGTAGCATTACCCATCAATCCCGTAATCGCTTTCCACTGTTCACTTGAGAATAGACGACCCGAGGCAAAAGAGGTCGAGTCATCCGAGCTTGAACCACCACCAACAACCGCGTTGGCCTTCACCGTGCCTCCGCGACCACGGCCAGCAGAAGGCTGCCCCCC